ATGAGTCTCTCCTGATGGATCACTTTTTCCCTCCCACTATTTCAAGGTCCATGAGAGCCGTGCTGCTGATCTCTTCAGCATGCTTAATGTGTAGAAATTGATTTGGAGAGAAAACATCTCAGATGTGTGTTTTGTTTTCATTTTTCTTTAATAGAACTTGAGCGAGCAGGAAGTGTGTGCGTCATGAAATTCGCCCTGGTTATCTGCTTTCACACGCTCTGGCCAGCCGCCTGCCCTCAGACAGCACCGAGCCCCCACTGTGAGAGGAGCCGATACACAGCTTACACACATGCGCGCGTACATATTCACGCACATGTCGATCCACACACAAGACACACACATATACCCAAAGATATACATGCAGTGGACACTAGCATTGAGGAAGCATGCATGCCTTTGTGTACCTATTCACAAGCGTGGAGGCATGAATGAACACCCGCAAGTCAATATTTTCACACAAAGCACACACATTTAAATCAAAGCCTGCGGCAAAGACATACATGTTTTTTTCATTTTGCAGTGCGCAAACGCATGTGAATGTTGTTGCAGCGAATAAAAAGAAAATTGAACAATTTCTCCTGCATCATGTTGTAGAAGCAAAGCGAGCAGGTCAGTGACTGTGTGGTTTTCAGAGTTCAGCTCAGATGGACGCTCATGCATCTTGTTATATGGAGAACTTCTTCTCCGGGCCTTAGGTGAGGGTGAGAATGTGTGAGGTCACACCATGTGACCTTTAGCTGAAGCCGCTGGGCCGCCATTGGTCCAGAGCCAAAAACCCCCCATACCCTCAACCTCAACCACCTCCCCCAGACACACAGCAGTCCTCTCTACTGCCTGACCGCTGCACTGAGGGCCAAAGTGAGGAGACTAGTTTTGTGTTGTGTACCTTCTATGTAGCCATATTCTGAAACACATATAGAAGGACCCCAACCCTAAATTATACATATCTGGGGATACAAAAAAGGTGTATGTTTTATATATTTCCATTATGTTTGTTTGGTGCATTTGAATGTTTTTCTTGTGAGACAGGAGCATGTGCAGATTGTGAAAAGCTAATTTCCCCCCATTGGGACAATAAAAAAAACAATTTATCTTATCTAACTTATAGATACAAACTTGGCTTTAACAAGCTGAAAATTGCTGATGATCTTTGAGGTGTTGGTGCTGGGTGGCAGAAACTGAATCCTGCTCATTTAGCCCTGATGCCTTATTGCTTACTTCAAAAATAAACTACTGATCAGCAGCACTCTGTAAATCTGAAATCTGTGTTCATTATACCTTAACTCATAACCCACAGCTCTCACTCTTCCTGCTACTTTTAAACACACAACCCAAGACTCAGCTTCTTTAAATAATCTGCATGTTTGTTTTTCTTTGTGGCTGAAAAGGCAGAGGTTTAATTCTGGAGTTCTCTCTGGAGTTAATCTTTTTTTTAACTCAAGCAAGTCCTACAAAAGGGTTTTATGTTGTGCATTCATAACAGTCATAATATCACACATTAATATCCACCACTGAAGTAGCCTATATATTAATCTTTGAAGCTGAAATTGTTGCCATCATCATGCAGTAAATGAATGAAATGAGTTAATGATAAATTTTGTTTTAGAATTTTTTAGTCTTGCACCAGATTTTATTTTGATCAAAATTCAACCAGCAATATCTGTGATCCTTCATAGTGTGTGTGTGTGTGTGTGAGTGTGTGTGTGTGTTCAGTAGTCTCATGCATATGTCATGCAACTTGTGCAACAACAACAACAAAAAAATGTGTTACGTTTCAGAAAATGCAATAGTTGAAATCCAGGCCTCATTAGCGTGTAATTAGAAAATATGCTCCCTGATGCGTCACATGCAGAATATTATACCACCCAGTCTGTTGTAAAGCCGCCGCTGCATGAATATTGACAGCTTGTTAATTATTTTGATTAGGGGCTGTAACGATACATGTTTGGATATTTGCACTTGCTCGCTTTTTCTTTTTTTTTTTTTTTTTCTTCAATTCCCAACGGAGTGTTGAGGTGAAAGCTGTGTCGGTTCGGGTGTGTTTCCTCCCATTGGATTTTTATTTTAATCATGCTGGCGGAACAAATCTCACATTAAGATGTACTAGTGTGTTTTATACCAAAAACTGGCGGCGGGAGGTGTGTGAATTTGCTTTAAACACATACTGAGAATTGCATCTTTGTTGGAACATGAACTACATGCGTCTGCTGTATCTCTCAGGCGATATTAATGCGTGGTTATGCCTGGAAAGTATATCGTTTTCTACTTGAACATCAGTTTGGTTTGACGCATAAATGACTGCAGTGTCTGAAGTTTGAATTAATTTCTGATTTAAAAAAAAAAGAAAAAACAAACAAACAAAAAAAAACAAAAACAAAAAAAACATAAGCAGAGTAGAAGCAGACACGGTACAAACAAAAGCTCGTTTTGTGAAGCTTCTCTGCAAATGTCAGTAAATAAACCAGTGTAGATGCAGCCGCAGCAGCTAAAAGCCATGTGTTGTTTTGCATTGAAACTGTAATGAGCTCTTACCTTGCGCAGGCTGAAGAGGAGAGGGGAGGAGAGGCGAAAAGGTCCGCAGTCCTGAGCGCCGTTTCAGCCAAATGAACATTTCCCACTGAAGCCTCCTCTCTTCAGGTCATCCTCTCCTCACATGTTGATTGTGTGGATGTGTATTGAGGCTGCAGACTTGCGTATTCGCCCCTATACAGCAGCCGAGGCTTATCCCCCCTTGTCAGCTGATTATTGCTCCGCGTTACCGACTCCATCAAAAGGTGACGAGACAAAAGAGCGCGCAGCTTTTTTTTTTTTTTCTTCAGGAAAATGTAATTGTGCAGAGTGAGGAGTTCAGGCCGCAGACTGCGCGCTGCAGATCAGAAAATTACTTGAATTCATTGGTGTTGAAAGAGAAGAATGGCTGTCTTGTGTTTGTTGTTTAACAGTTGTCTTCTAAAAAAAATAACATTTGGACTAACTCTTGATTTATTTCTCTTCATTTTAAATCCCCCCTGAGAGGTGACCTCTTCCAGCATGACATCAGATCCTAAATCAGCTCCTTTAACAAGAGGCAATTGCTGCTTTTTTTCCTTTTTCAAAAGAATATCCCAGTTATTTTAATTGTGACAACAGTTTCATATAATCATACAGAGCAATTAAATATAACACAAACTCAAACAACTCACACGGTCGACATTATGAAGCTGGAAAGTGCACTCAGCTCAGCCTGCAGACCCAGACTCGGGACTATTTATCTGGCTCTTTCAGCGGGGAGCATTGCGGTGCTTTCCCCCCGGTGTCTCGGCTCTGCCTGCAGCCATGAAGCTGCACCCCCCCACCCCCCCCACACCCCCCCACCTCGCCTCCTGCTGTCAGCATCGGCCCACATACCTCTGTGTGAGCTTGTTTGCTCAGGCTTGTGAATCATAGTTTCCCCTAGACCGTGGCTTTGTTTTGTTTTGGCGCATTTTACGCACTATAATACATGACTTTAAAAAAGTGCAAAGTTACAAAAGAAAGGCAAACAGATGCATGCGTGAGGCAGGCAGGCTGCGTGGAGATCATCTGGATGTTTGGAACAAAAAAAAGGAGCAAGACTTTATATGAATAACAACATAAACTCTAAACAAATAACGCTTATGGTTAAATTATAGAGATTAAATTCATCAGTAAAAATATGAATTTGGACAATTACACTTTTGCAGAATTGCAATTAAAGCATTAATTAAATCAAGTGATTATTTTAAAATTGTGGATTATAGGACGTTTTCTAATAATCCACTTGAGAGAATCCCCCTGAGTTCAAACACAGGGAGAAAAAACAAACTCTAATGGACTGTTGTCATTGTTGTGTGGTCCAACTCCTGTTTGTTGATTCCCGTGTTATTTCAAGCACCAGTGACCAGCCGAGACCCTTGGCTGAGCAGGCAGACATGTATTCTGCAGTTAATCTGACGGAGCATCTCGCTGCTATGTGTATTGGAGCGGCCCATTGTTTTCCTCTATAGATTAGCCGCACAAGTTACTCACATAATCGAAAGGCTATAGACAGGACTGTCATTGCTTTACACTCCACTAACGGACTACCGACACAAAGATTCAATAAAAGTCCTCCAGCAGAATGTTTTTGAACAATATATTTACTTCCATTAAATAAAACACAATAGTTTTTTTGGATGTTGAAAAAAAAAAAAAACATAATTCCGTACCAAATAGTTTACACAGAGCAAAAACCAAATAATTTGTCGCAGGAACATTTTTGATGCTTCTTTTTTTTTTTTTTAAATCCAGAATTGCTATTCTAAATCGATATTCACACAGACATTAATAATAAATTTATAATATGTTAGAAACACACAACTGGTGCGTTTTAGTATGTACATTCCCTTTTTGTTTGCAAGCAAAACATGATTCCTTTTTAGGGTTTTCTCTTTTTTTTTTTTTTTTCCACATGCGTTGATAAATTGAACCTGGAGAGAACTGGAGGGTTATAGCGCATTCGCCTCGACAAACAGGAGATGATAATTCAAATATATATACAACCTTTTCAGTCAACAATTAACGTCCAAAATCCATCAGGAAAAACCCTCACGACGAGCTATGAGAATGAACCAGGCTTGTGTTGTTGTTGTTGTTGTTGTTGTTGTTTTTTTTGTTTGTTTTTGTGTTTTTTTTTCTGTACTGTGGCGCAGTGTGAAGCAGAGGCCTGGACTCGTCATCATCATCAAAGGGGGGAATAAACCTAAAAACTCCCATTTCAGTTTCACTCCGACCTGGAGTTGAGCTTGTTTCAGTGGTTCAGTCTTCTAGTGCCCTTTTTTTTTTTTTTTTTTTGAAAAATGAAAAAGTAGTTGTAGTAGTCTCTTGTTCCTGTGGCCGGCTGTTTGTGATTACCCACACACTGCAAAAAATGACCACCATAACCAGCCATTTAGTCTTTGTAATCAACCTTACAAATCACATTTTCTTTTCCTGAAATAAATGAAAATTAAATCTACCCACATGGCGCGATGGGGATAATCTCACAGGTTTTTTTTTTTTCTTGAACGTTTGGGGGAATGTTCAATGGCAGAATCTTGATGAAAAAGCCAGAATATATTCCAGCTAGTACCAAGAAAATGCCAGTTGATCAAGAAATTTCCCTAAACACATGAAAAAAAAGGTAAAATGATCCCCTCGCCAGATTTCCTTACCCCCCTTTTGCGAGAAAAATAACACTTAAAGCGTCACTACCAGCCTCTAATGACTTGTTAGGGTGGTTATTTTTTGCAGTGCAGGTAGGTATTAGACTGGTCTGTCCACGGCGTATTGGCAAGCGCTCAGATTAGTCGCCGGATTCTGCACACTGGCGTATCCAAAACTCGAGTGCTGCTTGGCTTTCAGTCTCAGGCTGGCCAGGCTGGAGTTACAAGTGTCCCTGTACACATAAGGAGGGGTCGGAGGCGCGTAGGGGCACGCCGGCGTGGGCACCCCCGAGTTGAGAGACGGGTTGCTGAGGTTGTTCAAGTTATTGAGGCTGTTGAGACTGGAGCCCGGCACGCCTGTGACCGCCGATGGCACCATGCTGGAAGTCATGGAGGATATGGAGTTGGGCGGCGAGAACATGGTCTGCGAGGACAAAGGGTTGACATTCATGGAGTTGAAGAAGGGGAAGCTTTTGGTAGATAAGGAGGCCGACGTGAGGCCCTTGGCCGCCCAGTTGTTGTACGTGTAGCTGGGGTACATGTCGTCGTAGGGCTGCATGAGTCCATTGAACTGCGGACCGAAGCCGTTTTTGCAAAGCTCCGCTTGTTGGTTTCTTTCCCGTTTCCTCCACTTGGCTCGCCGGTTCTTGAACCAAACCTGGAGCAGAGAAATTAGAAAGTTAGAGATTATATTAGAGGATTATTTATCCACTATAGCCTCTGTAATTCTTAGTATTTATTGTATTGAGTCAGTTCTATATTTTAATTATCAGTCAAATCCTCTTTAATTTTTTGCACTTGCTGCTGAAGTTTAAATTAAATTAATTCTTATTTCCTGATAATCGCAACGTCTATAAATCCAAACAGGCTTCCGCTTTGATTCCGTCCTTATCTGAGCAGAATACACACGGGGCTGTCACTGCACTGTCTTAATGTGGCGGTGGATGTGTATTCCTCCGCAGGCTCCCACAAACAGGCTGAGCTCCATCACACAACACCAGGGCGACAATCGCAAAATACAAGCTTTGCACCTCTTTCACACGAACAGGCGAACACGACTGGTATCTGTCACCGACTGAAACCGTTCTCGTTAATAATGTGTTGTTGCACTTAACAGGCAAATAACAAACAGGCAGTTTTCTCCCGGTTTATTAGAAAACCACTGGAAATATTGAAGTTTGCCGAGAACAACAAATGAATTTGTACAAAGATAGATTATTTTGCAGTGTGTGCAGGGGATTGTAATTATATTTAGCCTAACAGATAAACATAGACAGTGTAATTAAATTGAGCTTGAAGCAGCAGTATATTTAAACAAGACTCTAATTATTTGTTTTCAGATGAAAACTGTGTCCTAAATTATTTTCAAGGAAATTTCAGCCGTGCGTAAAGTTTGGTGTCCGTGCGTAATAACACTTAGGTGCAGGATATTTATAGTTGAACCGGGCAATTGGTACAAATTACCCGAAATTATACACACGAATTGTTTTTGTTTACACCCAGGGGAACACTCACCCTGACCCGGGCCTCTGTGAGGTTGGTCCACACGGCTATCTCCTCCCTTGTGCTCATGTCCGGGTAGCGATTCCGCTGGAAAGTGGCCTCCAGTTCCTGCAGCTGTTGGCTGGTGAAGTGAGTCCTCTGCCGCCGCTGCCGCTTCTTTTTAGAGGGGTCATCTGAGGAGTCGTCGTTTTTATTTTGGATCTTTTCTTTTTCTGTCGAGAGGAAACGAGTTACTTTAGTCAGGGTCAGGCAGATTAAGGCCTTTGTGCTACAGTGAGGGAAGAAAAATTCCTGAATCCATGACACTCTTGGGAAATGGATGAGCTGTTCAGTCTGCCTGCACTGGAGAGGAAACGCTCTGATTCATAAACTGAGTTAGTTTTTCGTGGTCTGAATTTTTGCATTGTCCTTCATTTCATACGACTTGCCTTGATATTTTGATTTAATGTTGACACCGAATGTTTGAGTAAATGCCTGACTAATTTTAGTTGACACAGGACAAGCTCTCTTTCATTCACATGACACGGAAACTTTTCACAACACACGCGCACACATACACGCGCGCTCACACACACCAGCGTCAAAACTAATTATCCGAGTAAAAAAATGACAGCTGTAATCTGCTATCTGCATGCATGTAAAACTCGCTGTGCGCTGATTCACGGGAGCCATCTTATGTTTGATATCAAGATGACATCTGCGGCACCTTGCCGAGAACATCTGCACCCCGGGCGGTTCTTACCGACTGACTCCGGACTGGACGTGTCCGACACCGTGTGCACTTCTAGCCGGTGTTTAGAGTCCACAGACCGCTGCAGCGGCTGTAAACTAGAGGCCATCGCCAGAGCCGTGTAGTGAGTGGAGGCAAGTTTATTCCCTGTTAGGTGGTGATGGTCTGTGTTTAATGGATCCCTCATAGAGTTCATGGGTAAAAGATCGCACAACTGGCTGTCAAAAGCAGATTAAGTCCCCTTTTAGTACAGGAAGGATAAGCGGAAAGTCCGACGGCGGAATGTGTTCAGCTCTCCAAAAAACGCACAGCAGCGCGGCTCCTCTTGCGGTTCAGCAGAAACCCTCTTTCTGTTTAAGCTGGTAAATGCTTTAAAATAGCCCATTGAGTGCTGCCATAGCATCGGTGGCAAACAGCGGCTACCTCGGCTGACTATCAGAGTGACAAGGACAGGTAGGTGATATTAGATCCAGAGGCATACACACACTACACCGCTCTCTGTTCATTTCAGCTGTTGCCTGCGCACTGCCCATCCAACTGCGCCTCTCTCCAGACCTCCACGTCACCAAGTTGCGCCCGCCCATATTCTCTCTGACAGGCACATCCATGTGGATATGACGGTGTGCCCAACCAACCGGAGCTTGCAGAAACGAGATATGTCTGCCAATGTGTTTATGCCGGGCTGGCGCTTATTTTTCTCTTCCAAATAAAAGCATGTAAAGAGAGATGGGACGCACGGTGTACCCGAGGCGCTCCGAGGTGTCGTTGCGCAGCAGCCCAAGACCAAATAAAAATGAAAATAACACAGTTTGGCCTCATTTTATGAGATGGGTCCAGTGGCCCAGTAAAACGATGCAGTTCTATTGATACCCAAGCTGAGCCGCGTGCTCGCAGGCTCTGTCACCGCAGTTTACTCAGGGAGTCGATGTGGATGAAGCGAGCCACTGAGAGGATTGTATTGAAAGCACAAAGAAGATGAAAAAAAAAAAATCCACACTGAATATCAAACACAACAACCTCCTTGCCTACAGCACAATGATCCTGCGGAGGGACACGCGATTTTAACTTCAAAAGGAGGGAGGTGCCAGCCTGCTCCAGAAACTGTCTGTGCGCACTTGTCAACTGACGCTAACTACCAGACATGTACAGTATGTTAAAAAGAGCACATGTGCAGCTGGTGCAGCTCATACTGGCGTGCTGCATATGGCGGGGGATGCAGAATTTCAAGTAGGCTATCATATGTTCATTCAAAGGCAGTAAAGACACAGGAAGTTAAAAAAAAAGGTGGTAAAATGACTTTAAAAGCGACAAACTGAGGGAGGATGAATAATGTGCATTTTCATCACATGCCTCAAAAACGTGACCCAACTGTGACCAAAGTGTTTCACTATTCACCACAACCCCCGTATGTAGCCTCCGTGCACTGGGAAAGCAGTGTCAGTCATACTAGTTGTCAAATGAGGCGACCCTCTTGACCTCCCTAGAGTTAAGGTTCAAATATCCATTAAATCAAACCAACGCAGCCACAGTTAGTTAGCCGCGCAGACTCAGTTTGTTGACGACGGATTACTTCATCAGAGCTTAACTGGATATCTCTCCTCACTTTGCGTTTGGACCCCTCAGTCTCAGGGAGCACTCCTCTAGTGTTTTTCCCCCTGTTTTAATCTGATAAGACTCTCATTTGCCTAAGAATTTCTGAAGGAGGACTTTTAATGAGTTGAATTGATATGACTGCTTTTTTTTTTTTTCTTTTAACCTATAATTCCCCAAAGATTGTGACGCGTTAAAGCAAAGCAAACATGTTCAATCAAAAAAAATGTGACTTTAATTTTCAAGGCGGGACACTGAGGGTGGAGAAATGTCAGCTGGGTAACAGGTGATTGAAGTCATGGAGCGATTTTATAGAGAGGAGGCAACATTCACGCCAATCAGGGCGACTCATAGCAGTGTGCAAGTGAAAATCATCATCATCATCATCATCATCATCATCATCATCATCATCAAATAACACACTTCCCATCTCCACGTGGCCAGGCGGACGCCCATTACAGCCAGCACATTTGGATTTGGCGCTGTTGAAAAGTTACTGGGCTAATCCCGTGAAAGCCCCTGATATATAAATACCAGCAGACCATAGCCTACAACACACACACACACACACACACACACACACACACACACACACACACACACACACACACACTGAGGGAGGGGCAATACTTTATCAAAAGCAGCGAGCCAATCACCCTCAAAGAGCAGTAAAACCTTGTTTTGGATCGTCTCTGAGTCATTGAATTAAGATGATTGATGTTTTTAGTTCGGATCATTCAAGCATAATTTAAAAGTAACAGATTTATTATTATTAACAAATTACATGTGTATGCATACATAAAACAATCATGCTCTGACATTTCTAAACATCAAATAAAATACATGTTAAAATTTAATGAGTACCTTATTTCAATAGTGATAATAATTATTATAATGACATAAACATGTAATTCTAAAAAAATGAACGTTTAGTCAGAATCAGGTTACTGTTTCCTTAATAATGATAATAATAAAATCCTATTTCCTGTGTCTTATTTGATGGAAAGCAGCGATCAGTCTGTTGCTCCTTTTTTCCTTCCAGCCGTATTGTAATACTAAACTTGAAGTGGATTATCGGTTTCCTCTTCATTTCTACCTTCTGAATGCTTTATCTCACTTCTGCGGATTACTGCGCGCAATAGGCCTCTGTCATAGAGGGCCATTAATTAGCAATTCAGTCAATATAGGGGGAGACGACAAGGCTTTTTACATAGGATTAAGGAGACATCAGATTTCTCCATTAGTATATTCCTCCTCACGACTGGGCTTTCATTATACATTTAGTTTTCCCCGGAGTCAATCCAACAAGCGCCGCATATATTATACAGCAGAACAGTTGACGCTGGTGTGTCTATATTTGCAAGCATCATTCTGACCCCACCCCCCACCGTTTTTTTATATTTCAGTTTTCTTATTATTCATAATCAATGATCGTTCACAATGTGCAGCTATGCCATGACGAGCCTGCGCTCTGTCGCACAGCCCCGTCGATGCTGGCTAAATGAAACAGAATGAGGGTTATTGGTTATTCGTTTAAGACCCTAACAAGACTCGATGTCATTTCCACTCCGCACTGGAGAATAATTAATAAATCCCACACTTTGTCTCGCAGGATTCCAGCTTGTGTTTAGTCCTGTTATCGTTTTTTTTTTTTTTTTTCGGGGATGTCAGTTTGGAAAGCAGCATTTATGAGAACAGATCTGAAAATGGTTAAGGAGGATTATTGGGGGGGGGGACGCATTAAAGTCTGTGTTTTGTTGCTGTATTGCTTTGCTGAGCCAACGGCCGTGCAAGTAGAACTAAAGGCTATAATAACATTTATAAATAGGTTCGTCTTTTAATTACATCACATAACGTCGCTGCAGTGCTGTCAGCCTTATCTCATGCTGGGATGATGCTCAGTGTTTTCTGCCAGCTTCAAGTGCAGCACTGCAGCTGCAGGTCCACATCTGGCCACCAGGTGTCCCTCTAAGACAGATAACAACCTGGATTCACCCTAAATCCCTCCACAGTGACAAGAGAAGAGGCCAAAATATCTGTGGCCACTTTTGAACAAACTAGGGAAATTCACTGCAAAATATAATATGAAACAGTTTTTTTTTTTACCACCACATCTTCACTATTATTCAATAGTCTTAAAGTTGAATTTGTGAAGAGAACAACTGGAGATTATAATGTGAGAATTCAAACAGAAGTGATGGCTTGGCCTATACATTTTCAGCGTCATTTTATTTTTACCTTTTTAATTAAAGATGTTGAATTTATTTTTAAGAAACTTAACAAAAACAATACATTTGAAACAGTAGCTCACCATCACACTACCACATCGGTTCACTGATTTGACACAAAATCAGATTATGAGCAAAAATGTGTTTGTGCCACATCTGAAGGTGCATTAATAACTGCATTATTATTGTTATTATTATTATTAATAATATAGTATTAGTTTTATGTTGACTTCTCAGAAGATGTCAACTAATTTTACTTTTAGCCTTTATAAAAATGTTGACGGTTGACAATAGAATTTGTAGACGGGAAGGGTTAGAATAAAATATTCGCTGTAATTAATAATCAGGCCATGTTTGGAAAGGAACACTCACAGACAAATATCTATAGTGTGTGTTACTATGACGACCATTAAATGTAGGCCTACATATCTTTTTTTTAATGATTTATATGCAGATTTGAAATGGAAAATATTAGCCTATGTTTTATATTATATTAACAAAGAAGCCCTGTTTTATTATTTCTGCTGGAGGAAACGCGTCATACTGATTCCTGTGGATCAGATACTCACCTATTTGCGCGCAGGTGGTGGCCAGTTTGCGGCAGTGGGAGTCCATTATGGCAATTTGAGGAAACCGCTTCTGTAAAAACAGATAAAAGAGCCATAATTAGCCTTTAAGGCTGGTAAATAACCTCCTGTGTGGTTCACTGTCATACAGCTCTGCCTGTGCAGTCAATAATTTTGGAGTCAACATATGAGACCTAAAAGAATAGTGGTGTGCTCAAAGGATGACACCAGAAAAATGCTGGTGGTCTGGAGGAAAAGATTTAAAATGCATACAATTAAAATACAATGGTGTTGTTATAATGAAGCAAATGCATAAAATACATTAAACAAAGTTGGGATGTCAGCGGTGGTGCTCTCTAAACGAATCTGCTCTGATCTGAAAGTCTCACTCTTTGTAAAAATGCGTCAGTGATCGATTTATTTCCAATTTAATTTTACCTGTGTCAGGAAAAAACTGTAGCTACGGCAGAAAAATCCCATCTGTATTTCATGAAAACCTCATATGATTAAAAAAAAATAGAATAAAATAATGGAAACAAGATGATTTTTATTGGAGAAAAATCTCATCAGCCAGAAGCTCTTTCTCATCATTGTTTTAAGACAAATTAGAGTCTAAAACGTCATATTATGGCTCATCATGTATTGTTCTATTTTTTACCAGTGCAAGATTTCTTTTTTGTACAGTCTGATATATTGTTTAAAATCCGTCGTGTTTTGCATGAGCCGGATCTTGTGTTTCGGTGCAGCCTGCAGCAGTTGGAAGTGCAGTGATTCCGTAGTAAAATCACGGGATTAGAGTCTGATTGAGATGTCTGTCGGTGGGATATTACAAAATTCATTATCGCAGCCCT